GTATTGTGTAAAGATTGAATAAATAAACACTTGTATGCTATTTCGGGGAATCATTCTTCGTACATCATTGTATATCGCTTATGCGCTCGGGGCCCAGTAATGACATTGCCGAACGATAGGCTTCTCCCCACCCTGGAGACTTTTATCGAAAATGTTACTGACATAACACAAGTAAGAGCCCCTTCGCAGCTTAGTCCGCGATAAATATAAAATTATTGTATTATACAAACCTTTTAAAACGCTTGCAAAGCAAATTTGCGATATATTTTTATAGAAAAAAACAAAAAATAACAAGCATACGGCTAACCTGATGATAAAGATTATCACCGCCGCCCGTCATCTGCAACACCAGAGAAATTGCAGGTGAGATGCCGGAATTTCAAAAAAGAGTACACAGGAATACAGCATTGCAAGTACTGATATTTGGCGACAGAAATATGTAAAAGGGTTGTACCTACCAAGACGGACGGAAAAAATAGTATCAAAATTTCTTATGTGTAAGCACATTCGTTAAATTAATGTGCCATTTATTCATATTCGATCAGAGAGAAGGACTACCACTTAGTAACCTCGAACCTGCAAAGGGATACAACATCTATTCTTAGTGCCAGTGAATCGAGCCGATCAGAAAAACTCGGTTGTCGATGATTTGAGCCGCTTTGCACTGGGTGCGACTAAGTGGAAGGAGGTGGCACTGAGTTGCCTCGGCCCAGAAATGAGAACAATATTCCATGTGCGGTCGAACCTGCACCGTGTGCAAACAGTGTTAAAGTTAAAGTTACATCCTATATACGTCCCACTGCTGGAAACAGGCCTCCCCTCACGTCTGAGAAGGTTTTAGGGCAAGGATGTGTCCGCCGCACTGCCCCAATGCGTGTTAGCAGACTTCACATGTTTTTGAACATTTTTTTCATTTCTCAGACATGCAGATTACCTCACGATGTTTTCCTTTACCGCCGAGCACGTGGTAAATCAGCACTTAAAATTGCAATTAACAATTCATTGGTGCCAGCTAGGATTGAACCCGGGTCGCTCGCGTTCTGCTTAACGCATGCAATGTGCCGCCATGAAGTTCCCAAGCTAAATAAAATATAAACAGGTAGCTGCTTATATGAAATATAAAACAGTCATTATGCACTCCGTGTCTTCGTTTTTTATTTCACCAGAATAATTTTTTAAACAAATTAATAACAATTTATTTTTTGGTCTTTAAACAAAACAATTTAACTGGTTCCAACACGTTTCTTTACTAAAATCATTAAGTTTACATCCATATCTAAGCCAAATTTCAAAGTAAATTTCTACAAAGTATTTCATTATTAAATATCTATAACCACTTAAAACATCTTGGTCCTAAATTGTGGCGCACCAAACACAAACAAAAGTCGGCATTAAAGAAAAACAAAGGATAAAAAGTAAAAATTTAAATTAAGTTACGTTTTTACAACGCAAATTAAGCATTTATTTTCATTCCTCTTGTTGTGTGGTCTGCAAGTCTATCGATTCATCATTATAAACAGGATTAATGTTGACAATTATTTCGATAAAATTGAGTAAATTCTTAGCGTATATATGTAAAACAGTTTGATGAAAAAAGTGACTTCATACTTTGCTAAATGTAAAAATTAACAAACTTATTGCTATTATTCTGTAGTTAAAACAGAATTAAACATAAATTGTAACCTAAAATAAGCGTGTCATAGCAGAAAGACATCCTGAGAATTAACTTGTGATATTTTCTCTTATTAACACGGCAACCACCCACAACTGAACAATGAACCATTGTTGAAGACAATGTGTTTGTAGACAATTATGTTTGTGTTTACTAAAAATAACCACGCCTAAACTAAAAAAAAAATCAAACTACTGAGGAGCTCATTCCTTGCGTGGCGACTTGTGACGAGCTGTCAGAGAGACCTCTGTTCACAGAGTCATGATATTTGCTATCTTTTTCTACCTTGTTATATTGCCGTAAGGATTTTTTTCCCCTTGCACACTATGGCCGCCTATTACTATCCTAAGTTTATGGTCGTAAACGACTTTTGACGCAAGCTAATATCGTGAGGAAACCTGCACGTCTGAGAAATAAGAAAAAAATATTTCGGAGGCATGTGAAGTCCGCCAACATGTATTAGGGCAGCGCGGCGGACATTCCTTTACCATAAAAAACTTTGGAGGCCTATACTCAGCAGTGGGATGTATATAGGCTGTATCTTTAACTTTTATTTAAACTTGTAGCGGGTGGAAGGAAAAGGGGAGATCTCCCGCCGGGCAAGGTGTTCTGCCCGGGGAGCGGCCAACGCTCCGAGTGGTAGTTCGGAGCTATTCTATATATGCTGCTTTAACTTCGGAACTTTGTTAGTGCGATTTAGGCTTCGATGTGTTTCACTTGTGGCGCGATGACAACGCCGCCTCATCACCCCCCTGCTCAGACCGGAGGTCGATAGCGCAGTCTAGATGTCGACGAATTTGCAAGTGCCAGGGAATTGCCTTGTAAGTCTGCGGTGAGTCGAGAAGAAGGCAAGTAATTTGCGAGAGTGCCGTGAAGCAGAGGCGAGCAGTAAGGCTCAGAGCCGTGCCGAACAATGTAGCGCAGAGAGTAGCTTGAAGGAACAGGAAGCATTATTATTCCAATGCTGCGATGAACCTTTGTAAAGCTAGATGGCTTGCAGAATGTGAAGACTGCAGACAATATCTAATCGGGAGCGAATGAATGGGGTACTTGAGTATGATGTCGAAGGTTTGATGTTGTAGTTTCCGAAGGTTATTGGTTGCGTGTTCATATCACGTCGGTTGGTCACCACTGTAGCGGGTGGAAGGAAAAGGGGAGATCTCCCGCCGGGCAAGGTGTTCTGCCCGGGGAGCGGCCAACGCTCCGAGTGGTAGTTCGGAGCTATTCTATATATGCTGCTTTAACTTCGGAACTTTGTTAGTGCGATTTAGGCTTCGATGTGTTTCGCTTGTGGCGCGACGACAACGCCGCCTCAAACTAACCAGGAGTGGTTGCTGAAAATATTGGGAATGTTAATATCACTACTAGTATTTTTATTAAAACATATCTAATACTAGCTCGCCAGGCAGACGTTGTTCTGCCCTTTCCAACGACCCTTCCTATAAAAAACCTTAAATTCGCAATAAAAAATTTTGAGTGTCATTTAGCGGGATAAAACTATCCTATCTCTTAAGTTGGCTGTGAAATCAGTTTAGTAGTTTAGGAATCCATCGCGGACAAACAACGTGACACGTAATTTTAATTATATCTAATATAATACAATATTTAACTTGACACGAACTTAATGGCTTGGTAGCGTAGATGATAAGCATTTGACTGCGGGGCTGGGGGCACACAATAAGAGTAAAAAAATATTAATTAGTAAAGTGTGCATACTCTGTGGCCCGCAGATACCAACATATATCCCGAATTAAAACTCCTATACTCCTCTGTATGACCTACAAATAATTTTTCGGTTCTGGATGTTTGTCGTTGTGAAATTTATGTATGTAAGCTGCCTGCACAAGACAAGAGCAAAGTCTTGTGTGGGGATAACATTAAAAAAGGGAAAAAGAAGAAAAATATAACAGGATGTCTTGATCCGAGGCTTTATTTGTTTTAGTCGAGTGGCAAAGACCTATAATGTTAGTAAAAAAAAAACTTATTCTAAGCGCAATTAGGTGGATATAAACAATCAAACTATTGCTTAACTGCTAGGAACATGATGCTATCCTGTTCCCTATCATCTTCAGGGCACTGTTGGGGCTGGCCACCTCGTTACGCACCAGAGACACACATCTCTTCCTCACGGTTGCGTAGAAGCAGTCAACACCCGAGTCAATACGATATGATCGGCTCTCATGACCGTCAGTCGCGCTAACGACCACTAGATCAAGGAGGCAGTCACTGGAAAATGTTACTAATGTAATAATGTAATAAGGCCGAAAGTAAGTTACAAGGTCGCCTCCTTTTCATATAATGTTTAAGGGCAAAGTATAGTCCGTCGCACAAAAACTATCTAATATAAGATGATATGGACTTTACACATGACCTTGCCTCGTCCATGTAACACCTATTCCAACAAAAACACATTGAGAATTGAGAAACACCATTGAGTTAATTTTACCTCATTAGTTTACTGTACGTAAGACACTCAATAAGTTTATAGATGTACAAAAAGTATTCTATATACTATTAATATTTATTTTACATCTTTTCAAAATATTCTCCACCATGCTCTATACAAAGTTCCATTCGACTAAACCAAATCTGAAACACTTTTGCCAGTCTTAATCTGACAGCTTGGAAATCGCTTCTTCGTAGGCAGCCACGGCTTCTTCGGCGCTTGAAAAAAACTTGCCTCTTATTTTTTCTTTGACACTTGGGAACAAAAACATTTAACAATGAGCTAAGTCAGGGCTGTAGGGTTTCAACACCAGAGACTTGAGAGTTTCAACACCAGATTCCTCAATAAATGCTTTGTTCTAAGGGAGGTATTTGAAGAGGTGTTATCGTGATGCAGCATGATTCCCTGAAGCCCCGGTCTTCTCTCACGCACAGCTTGAAAAGCTTTGGGTAATGCAATTGTAGTATACCATTCAAAGTTGACTGACCTACAATTTTCCAGCAATGACGTCGACAAATGTCCGCTCCGCGAAAAGAATATTTTTGTCGACGTTGCGAGGTCTTTGCAGTTTTGTCGGTAAGTGTCCTACTGAGTATACCCATACCGATGATTGCTTTTTATTTTCCGGATCATATTGATAGATCCATGTCTCGTTTTCAAAACGTAGAAGCATTTCATGGCACCAATCCACACGAGTCTGTTTTTCGCTTTCGGAGAGCAAACGAGGGATCCATCGACAACAAAGCTTCCTCATTCCAAGATGTTGATGTAGGACGGTATGAATGCTCCCCGAACTAATGCCTACAATCTTTTCGATGTCTGTATATGTGATTCGTGGGTCTTCTCTCACCAACATTTCAGTAGTCCATACATTTTCTGCCGTTATTGCTTTTGCGGTGCCCCGGTTCTTTGGTCATCTTTAAGATTAATTTTACCTCTTTTGAATTCAGCAAACCACCTAAAAATTGTTGCACGTGATGGAGCTGAGTCCTCTAACGCTAATTGTAACCGTTGTAAACTTAATTGTTCGGTTAAACCAAATTTAAAATCATAATATATCATAGAGCGCAAATGTTCTCGGTTAAGATCCATCATTTTAAATGAAAAGCGCGGGAAGCGTTGCAGGAAAATTAATAGAACTTTGTTTTATTTGTAATCCTGAGTAATTGGCTTAGGGAGCTCTATTTTTAAATAAATTTGCGTTTTAGAAACATATAACACGGGTGCGTTCCATTTTTAAATTTCAAGCATCTCAAAACTTATTGAGTGACTTACGTAGTATATTTTCCTCAGGAATATGAGGGCCTTCATCAACTCTATCATATCGTCGGAATATCGAAGTCGACTCGAAATTTGAGCTTAAAAACGTCTTTGGAAAATAGGGAATGATAATTTTAATATAATTATTTAGACAGCATTTTGGACATTACCTTCAACTTGTGAAATTTCAAAAAAAAAAGGAATGAAAAGGTAAGAAAAATTTACAAACTAAAATTAAAAAATAATTTTCACAATTTAACTTCTAATCTCTTTGATACATTACGCCTCAGCATCGACTTTAGAAGTTATTATGTGGAAATAAATATCTTTAAAAAATCTGCCTTAGAAAGAATTTGTTAATAAAAAAGTAAATTATTTTCCAATACAAAGTCGTATATTCTAGTATTTAGGCTCTACCCCATCGTCGATTCCAATCAGCCGTGAAGATTTTTACGGCCGTACTAATTGAGCGAGACGCCAACACCGGAAGCCATAAAAGTTATTAATTGGTTTCCCGCCAGCCCCGAGCGGAAGTTGTAAATACATGCCGCTACTATTTCCGGTCAATCGACACGCTTCGCTCCAACCTTTTTGGAGGAAATGGAGAGATGGATGGCTGTGCTGTTGTGTTCGTGGAAATCCGAATATTTGAAGTCGGATTTTATGTTCATTTACCACCATCGAAATTTCACTATTGAGCATGGGTCTTCCTTATAGATTAACTAATGGGGGTTGTTTGTTGCCAAGAAAGTTATTAATATATGGTTGATATCGGAAAGATCCTTCTCCCCATCTGCTGCTTTAATTTCATGGGTGATATAGGGCATAAGAATCTCTTACTCCCACAAGGCTAAGGTCTATTTTATGTATGTATATAAGTATTTATGTATGTGTATATGTATATATGTATTAAGGATAATTGTAACGACATATGGATTATGATGTATTTGTTTGTATTCATATGCATTAGTGTAATTTACAAGCCTTATTTAAATGTGTGTTATATAGACCGAAGAGATTATTTGTTAAGGAAGTGGCGGGCTAATCCCAAAAATATGAATTATAGGTTAGAATACACGCGGCACAGAAACAGAACAAATAAATTAATAAATTTAGCAAAAAACAATACTAGGAAAAACGAAATTTTGAATTGTGAAGGAGACTGTAGGAAGATTTGGGCAACTATCAATGGTTGGTTAGGAAAGAATAATAACAATTTAGATACGGTTATTATGAAATATTTAGGTAAGACAGATACAGTGACTAATATATGCTCAAACTTCGCTAAATCATTTACAGAAGAAATTGATAAAATAAAACATTACTGTGACTGTAAATTTATTGATCGTACCACTTATGTGGATCCGAGTAACGTTTCTTTCCGTTACCAAGAAGTATCGTCTAACGAAATTGAAAAAAATATAGATAAATTAGGCCATAATAAATCACCGGGTGTAGATGAAATAAGAGTTAAATATTTAAAGTATGTAAAGAAAGAGATCAGTCCATTGCTTGCTAAATTTGTGAATATGTGTGTATAAAGCGGTTTATATCCAAATTACTTAAAAATGCAATTATTCGACCAATATTGAAAGAAGGTAATCATTTAGAATATTAAAATTACAGGCCCATTGCTATATTATCAGTCATAAATAAAGTAGTTGAAAAAATAATAGTTAAGCAAATTAGTATGTTTCTGGAAAAAAATCATATAATATCTAACGCACAGCATCTGTTTAGAAAAACGTACAGTACATCTACGATGAACTAAACAGTAAAAAGTATGTCATTGTATTGTTCATTGATTTTAAAAAAGCGTTCGATACGTTGGATCACGAAATGCTTCTTGAAGCAATACAAGAGTGTGGGATTAGAGGTCCAATGAACAAATGGTTCCGAAATTACTTGAAGTACCGAACAATACGCACTATGATCAATGGTACGATTGGGGAAGAAGCTGATGTAACACGGGTTGTGCCAACCGGCTCCGTATTCGGACCTGTCGGGTACATCATGCACGTGAATAGCATTAATAACTTTGTTAAACATTGTTACACCTATATGTACGCCGATGACACGTGCCTAATGTACGCCGACAGGGACGTTAAAGTTATAGAGGAGAGGGTGCAGGATGATTTCATTAGTATACTAAAATGGGCACATGACAACTGCATTATACTTAACGTATCCAAGACAAAGTGTATGCTTCTCCAATCTCCATATATGAGAAAACCTAGTGAAGAAATAAATATCTTTGGTCATTCGTACGAGTGCTTACAGAATAAATTGGAACAATGCAAACGTACTACCATAGAATTTGTGAATAATTACAATTAATACAATTTGTGAATAGCTACTTAGGGCTAACAATAGACTGTAATTTTAGTTGGAAACTGCTTATTAACATTGTATGTGATAGATTAAGATCCATATTATCTAGGCTTAATAACTTAAAACATAGTTAGCAGGTCAATCTTAAAAATGCTTTATTATGCACTAGCCGATTCAGCCCTGAGTTACGGACTAATTGCACATGGACGTACTTTTGAAACATATACAGATAAAATTCTTATGCTACAAGTTAGGTTAATAAAATTGTTTATTGATAAAATAACAAAAGAAAAATATAACATTGACGGAAACTATAATAATTTATTTAAAAGTTTTACATGTATAGGTAATACATGTAAAACTTAAGTACTTAATTGCAATGGATCAATTTAAATCTCTAGAGTTTAAAACAGTTCGGACATTTAGCAAAAATATTAGAATTACTTCTCGAAAGAAATACGTTTGAGGGTTAACAATTATTACGGCAAAAGGACGAGGAAATATCTAGTACCACGTATTTTTAACGAGATATTTTTTGAAGACGTATGTAAAAATAAAGAAAAATTTAAAAGGAAGTTGAAAGCGTGGTTGCTAGATACGTGTTAATACTATAGTGTTAATTAATAGTTAAATGTGAAATTATTAATAAGTTTAAATACGTGTAAGTTTCAATATAATTAAGTATATAGATAGTACTGCTAAGTTTAAATTTAATTTTTCTATTTATTTTATTGTTATTTTTTTCTTCTATTTTAAGTTGTAAGTTAAGATTAAGTTATTAATTACAGTAGGTACATAGAATGTAAGTGGGTGATGTATTCGCCAACAAACTGCCCTGAAATTTGGCGAAAGTAATGTAAGAAATAACCGAATGTATTTTTGTATAATAAACATTAAAAAAAACATTGTAAAGTTGCAGGCGTCGTGCCAGCATGAAATACTGTCCCGCTCTGCTGAGCACGCCAAGCTTTTTAGAACCAATTTGGCCTTTTTTTCCAAATGACCATGAAACTACACGTCACTTGATATGTCGACGTCGACGATTCCGATACTGGCTGAGGCAACAAGGGGAGTACCTTGAAACTGAGGAGATACGACAAAGGGGCTCATTTTAGCGGTAAACGCGCAAACTTGTGTCTTCTGAGGATTAAACTGGACTAGATTTAGTCGCCCCCAATCCGAGACTTTGTCCAGCAAAGACTCGACTTCAGACACAAGTTTGTTCCGGTAGTTGGTGACGTTTTCCCGAGAAATATTGGCACGGCCGGTGTATAGAGCATCACCATTGCTGTCATCCGTACAGCAATGAATGCTACCGGCTTGCAACATATCATTGATATGCAGAAGAAACAGCGTTGGTGATAGCACGCAGCCTTGTGGAACACCAGCGTTATTAGGCTTGTAGTCGGAGCATGCACCGTCTACAACGACCTTGTTGCTCCGATCTGCAAGAAAGCTGGTGATCCAATTGCATAATTTCTCGGGAAGCTCATAGGAAGGGAGCTTTGAAAGAAGCGCTTTGTGCCAAACCCGATCGAAGGCTTTCGCAATGTCCAAACTAACGGCCAATGACTCCCCTTGGACTCTTCTGCTTCCGCCCATCTATGAGTTAAGTAGACCAGAAGATCACCAGCTGATCGACCTCGACGATAATCGTATTGGCGGTCACTAAACAGCTGGTGATTCTCAAGGTACCGCATGAGGCGGCAGTTTATAACGGTTTCCATTATTTTGGAGAACAAGGGGGTGATGGCGATAGGCCTGTAGTTGGACGGGTCTGAGCGGTCGCCTTTTTTAGGAATCGGGTGGACAAAAGCTGTCTTCCATGATTTCGGGACTACGCCTGGGGAGTAGGAGTACCGGAAAAGACGCGTTAGAACCGGTGCCAACTCCGGAGCACACGTCCTCAGCATAATTGGGGGGATTTCGTCAGGCCCACTCGATTTGTGGATGTCCAGGGAGAGGAGTGCTCTGCGAATCGAGCGCTGTGACAACCACACATCCAGCATGGAGCACTCACACCGCGGGATGGTCGGCGGTGTTTTCCCCCCATCATCAACAGTCGAGTTGGATGCAAAAAGGGAGCCTAAAAGGTCGGCTTTATCTTTTGCGTCGTGGGCCAGTGAGTCGTCCTCCCTGTGCAGAGATGGTAGTGATGGCTTACAGAAATTCCCTTGGACAGCCTTGGCGAGAGACCAGAATGCACGGGTTCCCGAAGGAAGGCGAACTAGTTTCTCGCCAATTCTGCCTATGTACCCTGACTTTGCCTTGGCAATAACTCTTTTGAAGGACCTGGAGGCTAAGTTATACTTCTTTTTAAGTATGCTGGTGTTTACATCCCGAGTCACCGAAGCCGCAGCCCAGGCTTGATAACACTCCTGCTTACTGCGTAAAGCAGTCTTACAGGAGCGACCAAACTAAGACTGAGATCTGCCTCCGATGGGTACCACAGATGATGGAATAAATAGTTCCATTCCCTGTAGCACCACATCAGTGACAGA